AAGCTTAGCATACAAATTCTATCATATTTTAAAAATGATACAATCTAAATAGGGATTCCAATTACTAATCGAGTACATTTATATTTGATAGAATATGAATCTTCAAACTGGGAGACCCGACCCACCTGGTGGTTAGCAAAGGAGTCCAATGGGAGCTGCTGTAAAACCTTTTTTGAGACTCACTTATGTAAAACAAAATATCGATCAAATTTGAAAGATTTGGAGACCCACTTTCAACAAAATTCAATCTTTTGGGCGAGAATATGCAAGTACATCTGAATAATTTAGAATTTTTCATTGAAAACTTGTCAATTTGAATGGTCAAAGAAGTATGATACATTCAAAATTATTTATATTTGATATAAAGGTAGGTAATTCCTAATTTCAGTAACAATTTGACTAATTGCTTGTCAATTTTGATCAGGTCAAGCTTATATTTTCCTCTAACTTGTAAAAAAATTAATCACATACAACATTAAGAAAAATATCATCGGTTATTTAATGTGTATTGTGCAAAAACGAAGGTTTTATTCATTCTTATTCTGCATCACCAAATTTAAATACTGTAAATTTACAACATTCCAAATTATTATCATTGCAATATTCTAGCCAATTGCCCACAATCTCTTCTAAGGTGTAAAAAAGACCACACTGGAAAAAGAGTTCTTTACAATCATTGGCTGCGTACACAGATCTTCATTCATAGTGAAGGTTCAAAAACGCTACATTAATAAAAATATTTTCCCTCTCAATAGGATGGAAAATGCTACCGATGTCTTGTACAGAGATATTTCCTCGTCAAGAAGATCTACCCAGAAAGCAAACAAACTCAAAGGAAAACCCCTTTGATCAAATAAACCACCCTTATACCAAGATAAAATAAATCATGACACTGCAGTGTTAAATTTAACCAGACAATGACACGTTTTGACAATTAACTTTGTAGAACAATCTTGACTAACGTCAGGGTTTGTATTCCTTGATAGCCTCTGTGAGTCATAAGTTTGGACATATATGGTCCAAAGTAATATTGATACATTTATCCATGGCCAAACAAAACTGAACATAGAGATTCGATGATGAAAGTGAAACGAAAAAAGTTTTATTTCCTCATAAAAACTTTGAAAAATTGGAAATTATGACATATTAATATAGAAGGGGATATGGAACCGGAAATTTTCTTTCAAATTTATTAATCAACCAAGATGGCGGTCTCCAACCTCTTTCAATACATTTGATCCCTTTATTTTTTCATCACTATGTTATTCATTCAATCTTTAGCTGGTCTTATTACCGTAAGTGAAACTTACAGCCCTGCTTTTACACAGTTTGAATCGTTTATAACGTGTCTACAAATATGTATAACAATAAAAATAAATAACCAAACAATACGCGCCAGTTGTTAATACCAATTATTATTAATCAATACATTTACGATATATTTACTATATTTATTCTGATCTACATGTATTTGAAAATATTTTTCTGAGTGTATCCATATAATTAATGATTGAGTTTGGCGGTCAAGCATTCCGAACAATACTGATGCAACTTTACAGCTACACTAACGACCAAGCAAACGCATCATTTCCTCTTCAAAACAAGCTTCGACTTCAAACTCATGCAAAACGTTCATGGCATGCCAAATACGTCACTTAAGTATATCATGCACCAGACCGGAAAATGACAAAAACTTCTAAACAGACGTAGTAATAAGGAACGTATCAAGTTACTCTTACGCGACATTCAATGCCTACTATTACGCCGTTTGAAACGGAATTTAGTAAACAACGTAGATTCGCTTATTCGAGCAAAAATTCCTGTTTATACTTATCCAGATATTAAAAATATGGGTCATAATATGTATATGTATAGAGATCATTAAATAGAGACGTTAAATAAAATATATAAATGTGGCTTTGTGCGACTTACGGTATTTAAAGACATACAACGAGTTTAAAAAATATTTACCGTAATTTGAGATAGAAATAAGTATCATAATATTAATGCCTAATATTGATGACCGTACATTTGAACCCATGTGTATATTCACGGGTTCAATCTATATGCGGGTGCTAAACCCATGGGTTTGGGTTAGTATGGGTTCAAATATCTGTAAAACAAAAAAAATTTCCATAGGTGCAATAGTATGCAGGTGCAATTGTCGTGAGTCCAATGTAATGGAACCCCTGATATTACGTGGTTTGAAATATGATTTCATACACAAAATACATTCTAAATTCGCTTATTCGAGCAAAATTCAGGTTTATACATATCCGATTCATTAATAAAAATAAGGGTCATAATATTTATACATATACATACATTATAAAATAAATACATTGAGTAAATTTTGTGAATATGGCGTGTTTAAATGTAAATGTAAGTATAGTATATATACTTACCTAATGGGAACTATAGTACTTATTAAGGTCACACCTTGAGTTTGATAAATATATAATTTGAGATAAAAATAACGATCACAATATTTATACATACATAAATATAGTTTGAAATAAATTTTGTAAACAGAGGTGCGCCCTGGTTTATCGATACAGACGAATTTTTCCCATCAACATGCTACCAATTCAGAATGTATTTCAGAAAGGATTTAAAATGATGAATTATTAGATTCAGATAGGATAATAATTCTCTGAATGAAGCATGGTAGTTTCTTGCACCCAAATTTTTGACATAAAATTGCCGTATTATCATTAAAAGTTACAACCCTTCAACCATAACTAAACAGATTTAAAAACCGCTGTGTACTTTGTGGTACATTTGAGGCTAAAGACAAACAAACAAACATTGTACGTTTTACCTATAGACAACACACACACCACCCACAATAGAGTAATTTGCTAAGGTAAGTATATAACATTTATATTGTCAAAAGAAAACTTGATCATGATAAATCTTACATGTGGGCATGTGAGTTCATCTGACTACTTGTTCAAAAATCAAAATCTAGCTCTGCCGAAAAAAAAAAATAGTAAACACTATATTACCAAGTCGAATATGGACAAAGCATGGTACTAGCTAACTTTCACATGAAATGAGGATTTCAGTGAAAAAAAATTTCTTATTAAATGTTTCAACCTTTGATTCAAACATGGCTTTAGAGAAGCAGGCTGATACATTGAAAATTTAGTAAACGAAAATCACTTGATGTGAAAATGACAAGACAATTTTTCGGTCTTATCTTATACTTTTATTTTATTGACATTTTCTAACTTATATACTGTAAGTCTGTAATTTGATTAATTTTAATATGATAAAACTATAAGTTTGGCCTGTTTCATTGCAAATTGAATTACTTCATCTACTGGAATTATTTGAACATGCAACGATTCTAACATGCACTTATAAGAAAAGGATAGGTAATGTTCATTATTTGTCTACTATATTTGTGTAATCTCTAAAAGTTGAATTAAATTTTGCTTACACTTTTAATAATACATAGACAGTGGAATAGAAAAAAAAATATAGGGCCTGAATTCACAAAATACTTTTAACCAGGTTTGTTTTTTAATCAGTAGTTGTACTTGTATTGTATTGTACAGTATTTTTACTTCATTTAATACATCTGTGGGGGCCAAACTAATATATGGTATCGATAAATTAACTTTGCGATTTAAAAAAATATCAAGACTTTATGACACCCTATATAATTTACAAAGGCTGGACTAAGGATTTTTTAAATCTATTCCTCACTGTCAGCCTGAATCTTTCTACGCAATGATGCCAGTTTCGACAGAGAGAATATGCGCAACAAAAATAAACAAAGATAATTCAAAACGGAAATGAAAACCAGACTACAAGTTAGATATTGATTAGGTAAATTCCAGGAATGAGACAAAAAATATTATCGCCGAAAAACTTGTCTGGTATTGACCGGCATTTACAAACACGGCCTAAATATCATCAATTTATGTTTGATCATATTTTCCGATAACAAATATTGCATTAACAGTGTCTGCAAAAGTAAGATATTGAAAAGTACCACAGGGTCTGTTATTTTTGCAACAATCCCTTCATCTTATCCAGGGTGTAACGAAGCGGGTGAGCCAGAAATTCAGGTCCTTCCTTAAATATACCTCAGATATCAGTGGAAGTTTGTAGATAAGCTTGTTTCTGTGTTTGGAGCAAACGCACAAGTAATTTTCATATAAAAATGATTATCAAAGTTCTTTCATTTGCAACAATTTACTGGTAAGATATTCCCATACTTCACTGGTAAGTAAAGAAGGTCATGGTTTGGCATGAGATTATTAAGTCTTTTCATGATCTTTTCTCTCTCTCAAGGGATGAAAATAAAATTCACTCCATCAATGCATGTACTTTATAAATATTCATAAAATTCAAATATTTTGACTGGACAAAAAACCTGACATTACAGTTGTCTATAAAGGCTGGGTATAAATGACATAACAAACAAAATTTATTTCTCATGCACAGAAGACCTACTTTAAATTTCAAGATTTGATAGTTTATTTAGACTGGTAATATTGCAAAGAATATACAAATTTATTATCATATTCTGTCAACATTCTAGCACTACACCACACTGCCACAGGCTTTCAAATCGATTTGACAGTCTGTGAAGTCAAGATTATCATCATAATAATGAGAACCCACTGACATAGGTTGAAATCAAATCATACTGACAGACTGAAGACAACAAGTCTGACAAGCCTAGGCTATAGTCTATGTTCAGAAAGTTGACCACACAAAATCTAAAATACTTTGGCCAGGCAACCAGGATATTCCAACAACAAAATTCAGAAATTTGGGCCATAGTATCTGCAATTCACTGAATCGGAATACAAGAACAACTGCCTGACAGGCACAGCAAAATCATAACAACTGCCATAGCATTGAGTTCGGATTTTTAACAACGGAACAACAATCAACAAAAGGTTGCCAGTGCCCCAAGAGTTATGGTAACGTATAATATAAAGAAACAAGAAAACAAAAACTTCTTTATATGCCAAACTTACCAAGTTCAACAAAAACCGCTGAATTAAGCAAAAAGTACAATTGCGGCCCTATTTGGACAATTCGCACAATCGCGACCTGCAGCTTCGGCAACGGCAACGACAGCTCGAAGCAACGTTTGCATTTCCAGTATCAAGTCAACAAAAACATCATATCAAGCTCTACTCCATACCGCCGTCTACCGGTTATGAATCCTTTACATACACGACCTTCTGGCCACATGCTCAAATATATGGACACGTAAAGTCACATAATTTTGATGACGTCATAGCGAAAAAAATGTATTAGCCTTCTGGAGAAAATTTTTATCTTTATTCACTGAAAATTGGTCAAAGCAATTGGTCCAGTATTCGAAGAGAAAAGCGACTTTTTAAAAACGTGTCAAAGAACAAGAACAAGAACAACAACAACATAATATTGAAACTATCGTTATGTCCACTACGTGTCCAATAAAATAATTCAACAGGTACGGTGTAGGGTAATTCAATATTTCTCGTTTATTCATTATATACACTATTTACAAGACTTTTAATATCTTTATTTTTTATTTTTATGTGGATGTGTTTGTAGTAAGGTATGCTATCCATCATATATGTGGCATAAAGAACGTTATATATTGCATAGTGTCGATAGGATTCACATGTTTATCCCACGGGGAGATGAAAGACGATTAGACAGCTTAATCATATAGCGTACTACTGGGGAGAGAACATTCGATTAGGCGGCTTAAACATATAGATCATGTCGGGTATGGGATTAGTTATCCAGTTATTTGTTTTCAGGTAAATGGCTTAAAGGTGGAGGAAGCCGTAACCAGCCAGCGATTACATGAATCATCCTACAACGACGAGGATCCCAGCAATCCTCTAACACGGGATTCGAACCGCGTAGGGCGGTGGTCGGAAACCTTTCGTCGCAGGCGGGTCAAAATTAAGGGTTGCAAGTCTTGGCGAACCGCACATATTTTTTAGAAGTTAAAAACGGAACAGCGCGGAAAGACTGCGACAATTCGTGAACTCAACTTATCCTCTTACAAATATCATTTAATTTGTCCTGTTGTTGCATCACGCCTTTTGACATCAGTGGTACACTGAATGAAGCCAAGTTTAGAACATTTCCTACATGGGCATCACTAATTCTAGTTCTATGCTTGTTCTTTGTAATGTTCATTTTAGAAAATGATTGTTCGCACGCATAGGTACTTCCAAATATTGAAGTGAAATTTTTCGCATAGGCTGATTAAACGAGTAGCTGTTCACTAAATTTTTAGGTTATAATATATATAATTTAGTCTAAACGTAAAATCAATAAAATCAATTCATCGTCAAAACCGCTGTTTTGTCGCTATAATTCAGTGAAGCGTCGCGGGCCGGATTAGTTGCCGACCCCAGGTGTAGGGTGATCAGAGGTGCGTTGACAAATATTCCGGACGCTTAGCACGATGCGCCACGTGTATAAAATAAGGCATAGTTAAGCTTACCCTACGTCCCGCTTTAGGCGGGACAGTCCCGCTTTTTAGCGTTTTGTCCCGCCGTCCCGATAAGTCAGCTAAAAGTCCCGCTTTTCCAGCATAATACACAAACATGTTCTCGTTACTGTTGTTTCTGTGTAGCGCAGCGCTAGCTACTTACTGAATGTGAATGCAATCGTTTCCCGCTAATTTCCATTGATGGCAGACGTATCGCGTGTAAAACCAATACTAATTAGTCTAAATTCGATCTATTTGTACCGGTATCGTTAACGTCAATTCCTTCCTATTTTTCGAACTGAACCCGATATTTGGAAAGAGAATATGCGCATGAAATTTCGATAACAAAATGGTCAATAAAGACCGCCGAGACAGCTTTAAATGTAGGAATGTAGGCCTATGTAAAAAAATCGGAAAATGTGAAGTTACAAAATCACAGCTAAGGGGTCGTTGTCATTTGAGGCGTCCCGATTTGAAGTCACAAAAATATGATAACCCTAGGCATAGTAGCACATGTAAGTTGGCTTGGCGTGACAATTTTTTCTTTCATTCCAAACCAGAATTGACAATACAAATTAATAAAAAATATGCACCATAAAAACGATTTTTATAAAACGTTAATCTGCCCAGAGCTGTGCAGCCGGCGCGAATTTGCAACCGACTCGCGATTTCGAGTTGAAAACAAACAGGCTCCGAATCTAGATTTCGGGTCAAGATAAATTTTGATTTCGACCCCGTGTTGTAAAAAGATTTGACTCCGACTCAAGTCCCGAACTCCGGAAAATTGAAATTTGACATTGGATACATTGGCGTCCACAACTTTTTTAATAGAATGTTAAACTTAGCACGCTGTAAGTTTTGAGTTTAATTTCCAGTTGTTTCATTATCATTCAAATGCAGCGATTGCAACTCCGGGAAATTCAGAATTTGACTCCCCGACTCCAGTGAGATTGAAAATACGACCCCGGCTTCGACTCTTGTGAAAATATGCTAAATATCTGGTACTCCCGATGTATGGTAGCCAAGATGGCGGACACCGGAACGTAGTATGTGTATCAGGTTAGGGTTAGAAAATAATTTCAGGTACACATACTACGGGAGTCACTTGGCTAGTCCCCGATCTCGTAATATAACTGAAATAATGAAAATTGGAATAAAATTCTGCCCTGACCGAAACCTGGTACACATACTACGTTCCGATGTCCGTCATCTTGGTTCACATACTTCGGGATCGGGAGCACCAAATATCCGTCTCCCTAAATCTAGTAATACAACTAGTTCATTATCTTCCAACATCGAACCTCGTAAGCCTCGGCAGGGTTGAAGCATGGCTTACACCTTACATAATGGTAAACATATTAATCAATATCTAATTAAAAATAGGATAGGATAGGATTTACATATTTATCCCGGGGGAGAGGAAAGCCGATAAGACGGCTTATCCATATGGCGAACCACGGCCTCTCGTCCGGTTACCATTCCAAGTCGGGTATGGGATTAGTTTTTACTGTATTGTTTGTTTTCGGAAGCATGGACTTGGTGGTGGAGAAAGCCGTAACCGACCAGCGGTTACGTGAACCACCCAACGACGGCGAGGAGTCCAGCAATCTTCTCGCACATAACCATCCCTGCATGGGATTCGAACCTGCGAACCCACGCAGGGTAATTAGAGGTGCGGTGGCGAGCGTATTCCTAACGCTTAGCCCGTTGAGCCACACCGCCGCGCCAATAAGAAGTATAATTGAGATTTTTCACTGTTCAATCATTTTAAATTAATTAATTAGCCCTATCGGTTAGTAACAAACCTCGTTTTCAGTGAAATGTACCAACCCATTATCTCGCCTACTTTATTGCCTTAATGCTGTATTGTGTGTAAAACTCATAACATCCGATGGTGTAGGCCCAATGTTACGCCTATCTGTATAAATATTTAATTAAACCCGCAACTGCCTGCCCGGAGCATTGTTCTGAAAAAAAAAAACACAACACTTTATGACACAAGTTTGGTACTATTTACGCGTATTGGACAAAAGCAAAAATGTAAGTGTAGTACTATACTACACCCTTTTGCCGTGTATAATTCAATAGGCCGCACCTGCTTGTCTACGGCCTTCATCGAGGCGAAAATATGGAACGCTTGACGAATGAGAATGGTACTATTCCTCAGCGCCGGGTTTAGACCACGCAACACGCACCGCGCAAAGTCTGTGAGAGAGTTATTAAATTTAATTAAGCTATTATTATTATATAATCACATACGGGTCAGCATGTTTATTCTGTACACGCAACCCTCGTCAAGTTAATCGTGATTTAGTACTTAGTTCAAAGGTAATAGATGTAAATACGATTCCATTTTCTAGTACAAAATCTTAATTATGATCATGTCTACCTAGAGTAGACCCCGTCTAATCCCTTTTGCATAGGGCCCAGCATTAGTTAAATTCGACCCAACTGTTCCTCGCCTATCGATTGATGTAAAATAAATGATTGTCTTATATGTGGTACTATAATAGACTATATATTTGTATTAATAAGCCCATTCCAGCTAATCTTCGTTTCGAGTGAAATCGTAAAAGTGTCTACAGTACTGGGCTCGGCGGTGTGGCGCATCGTGCTAAGCGTTGGGAATACGTTCGCCACCGCATCCCTGATTACCCTTCGTGGGCTCACAGGTTCGAATCACATGCGGGGATGATCATGTGCGAGAGGATTGCTGGACTCCTCGCCGCCGTAGGGTGGTTCACGTAACCGCTGGTCGGTTACGGCTTCCTTCACCATCGGGTACATGCTTCCGAAACAAAATAACTGGCTAATTAATCCCATGCCCGACCTGGACTGGTAACCGGACGAGAGGCCGTGGTTCGCCATATGACTAAGCCGTCTTATCGACTTTTCTCTCCCCCGGGATAAATATGTAAATCCTATCCTACCGTGCTTTCCTCAACGCTTAATAATAAAAAATGGTACATTGCAAGTATACTTCTTTCGTCTATATTTATAGAGTGGGAAAGGATGCGGTTTTATTGTTTATCCCGGGGGAAAGGAAAGCGCTAGCCAGCAGTAACAAACCTTCATGTGGGTAGAAAGGTCAATCAAAACGCTACGTCCCTGCCACTGTTTATTTAAATTCACATATGTATGCCAGTTTGCTCATATTTATTTTAAGCTTTACGACATAATCCTGAAAAGAGAGATTTTGAATGCGCGAATGAATTTGTTTGTACACTTTTTGTTTTGCAATGACGAGTGATCGCCTCTTTACTTACACAAGAGTACTTACGTAATAGTGACATCGCCATGGCGTAATTTTTGATGACGTAGTCTGCTGGACGTCATGGAAGACACACGAAAAAATTATCAGAAATAGTACTATTATTTAAGTTTATAGACTTAACAAGCATTCCCCCGATATATAAAAACAAGCTCGTTTCTGTTGGGGTGATTTTCGAACATTGTTATGAATCAGCAAGAATGATCACGTGATAAGTCTTGTTTTTGATAATGCTGACTGGCTAATTTATCAACTGCAAGTTTGACCGTAAATATATACTACTACGGTTTGACAGGTAGCGCGACCTTGGCGTTTGTGTTTTTGTAGTAATTAGTAGTACCTGTATATTACGGGAGACTGTGACGCCCAAGTGCGTCAGAATGCAAAATAAATTTTTCATAAGATAGTTTTATCAAATCTTACCCTTTACCTTGAAGACCCATGCTTCCGAAAACAAATAACTGGCTAACTAATCCCATACCCGACCTACTAGACTGGTAACCGGACAAGAGGCCGTGGTTCGCAATATGATTAAGTCGTCTTATCGACTTTCCTCTCCCCCGAGATAAATATGTAGGCTAAATCCTATTCTACCCAACCAATGGTATACCGTAATCACGGAATCATGTGCTAATGGTATCAGTTTTGTTTTTTATCAATTATTTACATGATTTGGTCTTCATGGAGGCATGTTTATAAAGGACAGCTGTTTTATTTGAAATTTGTGTGACATTCTTCTCTGTGATACCGGTACTGTATGTTTTATCACTTGAGTACGGTAGTACCGGTACTGGTACCGGTATGTGATGGGGAATGACTGAACGGGAATTCTATATCCCACACCTGCAGACTTGTTACAAATCCTATTTTTTTTTAAGGGCTGGTCGACCTTGCAATCTTGGCTGCCAAAGTTTTATTGTTTTTTAATTGCAATGTGTAGCCTACTTTAAGGGTATTCGAAATAAATCACTATCTCTCCTCATTTGCCACATCTCTGTGCAACATGTTATAGACAAGGCTGCAAGGATTGAAATAAAATTCCATTGTTTTCATAACAGATTTTTATCAAGCAATGAAATGAATTTATTACGAACTGCAACCAGGAGGGCTTTGTTACTAGAACGCCTAGTTTTTGTCGAAAAACATTTGTTAAATCATAAAAACTGGCTGGCAAAGTCAATACCAGCATGCAACTATGCGGAGAAAACATATACAAGAAAAGTGTTTCGACCGGCAATAGGAGATAATGATGTTGTTGAAATTGAAGAACAGGAAGTCGTAGACAAAAGAAAGACTGAAAGTGATCTTTATTTAGAGAAAAAAAAAGAAGTTCATCAAAATAAAAAAAAAGTTCGAAAATTAACAAGAGTAGATAAAATGATTCTTGTTTTTGTTGGGAAGTTTAAAAATATGAAAGATGTTCCCGATCAACTGACTTTTAAAACTCTTGAGAAAAAGCAAGAGGCTGATGCTGAAGTAAAACATCTCATGCTTGGAAGCGTTTTTAAATATGGATATTTTTTCGAGTATGCTTCTTTCTTCATGACTTTTTCTCTCCTGGGATATGCACTTTATTATTATAACAAACAAAAAGAAAGTGCGGAAACATCCACTAGCAAAAATGCTGATTCATGAATTTTTATGTCACTACGTTAAAAGTAGTCTCTCATAAGCTTAGAGCAGAAGCTGCGAATCTGACTCGAGACCAATTGAAAAAATATTGACTTTGTTAAAGCTGAACTGTGAAAAAGGAAAGTTGAAGTATCATTTCTGTGCACATAAACGATCAATGTTAGTTTCACCAATTTTTATCATTATTTGACAACACCTATAAAATGTGAAATAATAAGATATACTGTATTGAATTTTTCAGATGTTTATTATAATGTATAGGTACCTTAGTTGGTTTAAATTCTTGCTAGATTATAACTAAAAGAATATCTTTTGTCATATTGGTTTTTGTTTGGTAAAATTATACATTAATGAATTTGATATAGTTTTGTTTTATGATAATTTGTATATCTTTAAAAAACAGCCACACTTTTTGTGTCGTAGTTTTGTAAATACAACAATGGATTTGGACATTGACACACACAAAGGGACAATATATGGTATGAAAAATGTCAACTGTTAGTCGTTTATGCCAGGGCTGTAAGGTCTGACAAAATTTACAAGCTCCAGGCTGAAGTAAATGTCGATTCGATGTTAAGAAGAATTTTGACTCCCTATTCTATGTGTTAAAAAATTTTGACTACAGCTTTGAACAGTGATTCTACATTATAATTTTTTATATATTTTCGTAGCTTCCGACTATTTAGTGGTCGATGGTAACTTCGTTTAGAGATCAATCTCCCTCTTTTTCTAAGCGAGTGCACATGACCTCATCTGAGCAAATTTCTTTCAAAAAAAATAAAATAGTATACCGATGTTGTATTCATCAAGGTGTTCATCATTTTTCGGGATACCGGAACGTAGTATATGTACCAGGTTCTATTACGAGTTCGAGGACTAGCCAAGTGACTCTCGCAGTATTTGTACTTGAAATTATGGCCTAACCCAGTACATATACTACGTTCCAGAGTCCGCCATCTTGGTTCACATACTACATGAGTACCCATTTTTCCACCAGTTAATGTTAATTGGAACCCTTTTCCAATGAAAAGTCTTGATTACCGATTGTCACCTTTGCTATAGATCTTCTGCGAACAATAAAAGATCCTGAAAAACCTGGAACTTTAGAAGATTTAGATATTGTGTATGAAGAAGGTATCAGAGTAGAAACAGATGCTGATCAAGAACGGTACTTCGTCGAAGTTGATTATAAGTCAGTAGAGTTCTTGTATTATTCTTGCTATTGGGGTTAGTCATTTTCATTATAGCTGTTTTGATTGTATTTTCACTGCCCTTGCGTATATGTCACTGGTGTGGGTAATCCAGTAGTGTGTGTACCATGTTAGGGTTAGGCCATATTTTTATTCCGATTATTTTAGTTCTTTTACGAGTTCGGAGACTGTCTGTTTTAGACAAGTAAATAAAGCCCCTGATTTCAGTTCCTTTACACAACTTGATATAAAATGGGCGAATAATATTAATTACCTCCACTTCTGGAGCGCCCTGGCGTGTAATATCGCAATGCTTCCACGTTCGTTTTGTGAGAATTTCATCTTGGTTTTCACTTATATTCAATGTCACAAGATGATGTGGGGCTGTGGGCATGAAGTACTTTTAAGTTTTTTTTTGTGTCCTGTGCCTTAAAACATAACAAGAGTTTAAAATGGATTCTTACCTTATTATTGCTGGAGTGTGCGTCATGCTTAGAGTTTGGAATAAGCTTGTCATTGCATCACTTTTTGATCCTCTGACGGTTCATTGTGTATTAGGTGAGAATATAAGTCAAAAACATGGTGACCTCCTTTCTAATTAGGTGTTACGCTTGTAAGAATTGTGTGTGACTTTATGAAAAGGCTGCCGGAAATTAGGATAGGATTCACATATTTATCTCGGGGGATAAGAAAGTCGATAGGACGGCTTAATCATATGGCGACCCACAGTTGTCCGGTTACCAGACCATGTCGGGTATGGAATAACTTAGCCATTTATTTGTTGTCGGAAGCATGGACTTGATGGTGGAGTAAGCTGTAACTGACCAGTAGTCACATGAATCGCCCTTTGACGAGGAGGAGTCCATCAATCCTCTCGCATATAACCATCCTTGCATGCAAGCATATTTCTGACACTTACTGAACTGGTAATGCAGCATACTAAAGGAACAATCTTAACAGCATTAATATTCAATATTGCAGACCTACGATTCCCCATTGTTCACTTGCTACACTTATTGGACTATGCATGAGAGTTAAATTAGAGAGAAATCTTCCAACCAATCATAAAATATCTATCAATGTTGCTGAAGGCACACACAACACTCGTGACGAAAGTAAGTAAACTATCAACGAGCAGTACAATTTTCTATACAGCGCTTATATGTGTAGTGTCTCGCCTCTATCTGCAAAGTTCCCTAACTTGCTAAGCTTTCCCGAAACATCACACAATGTTTGCATCCAAAATAAGAGGCTTTTACTGCTACAATTCAGTATACACAAAAGTAACTAATATAACTTAAACAAACGGCAAATAACTATACATCAGGCTGCCTAACTGCTGGGCCCACACTTTTGTGTTTGCTGAAGCACAGTGCTTCAGTTGGCCCATTATGCTTAGAGTTAAGAACCCCAACCACACTGTGGCAAATATTTATGTACCGGAGGATTTCTGGACTCTTTGAGGCATCAGGTGGTTAACGTAACCGCTGGTTGGTTCCACCATGAAGTCCAAGCATATTAACAAATACCTATTTCCATATGGACATGGATCAATAACCAGATGAGAAGCCATGGTTCGCCATATGATTATTAAGCGGTCTTATCGACTTTCTCTCTAATCAATTGTTCCCTCAATCATAATTCATTATATAGTGCTTGTATGAATTAGATTATATGTTCTCAAAGGGCTCTTTGAGAGAAACCTGAAGCTCCGCGAAGAACTGTTAATAACTGTTCAAAGAAGCAATAACAGCATTACTAAGACTTGATAACAGTAGCGTCTAAATTGGGCAACGAGGACAATAGATGATTTTTATATATTTATTGAGGGGCTCCGTAAATAATAATCAACAGGATCCAAAACACTAAAAGTTTGAGAACCTCTCCCTGGATTGGATGATATGTTCTGAGTGACCAGGCTCTGATCAAATTTCCTTGAGAATTTCTCGGCTTACTATAGCGTTGTGAATTATCATCCAATTCATAAATTTCTTATTTTCAGTCAATAAACAAATCAATGATAAAGAAAGAACCAGTGCTGCAATGGAAAATCCAAATATCAAGAAAGTTGTTGAAAAATGCATTCAAGAACCTGACTGACACGTACGTTGGTCGTACAACAATCTGAACTTCATGCGACAACTGACAGTACATGGTCATGTCGGCGTAATTGAATAAATGCAGTATTTAAATTATAAATCAAAATTATTTTTTTAGAAATCAGAATATCTGATATATGCTGATATTCCAAAAACTAATTATTGTATCAAATTCAGTGGTACTCCCACAGTGTGTATTAGGTTGGGGTTAGGCCATAATTTTATTCTGATTTTTCTTTATTTTAGTTCTATTATGTGTTCGGCGACTGCCTGTGTTAGCCAAGTGAATATCCTCGTTGCCCATAGGTTTCAATCCCTTTACACAACTTGTAAAACATGAGAACAAAATTAGTTACCTCCATATTGGTACACACAATTCTGGAGGCCGATTCAGTTGCACTTCCAATTTTATTATTTTTGAGCCTCACAAAAACCAATATGTATGACACGCCCATAAGCCTCGACTTCAAGAACCCTTAGCAGGCATCCGAAAATAAATTACAGCATTTCTTTTGTTACTATTTATAGTATTCTGAATGCTAAAACTTCAATCATATACAGGGTAGTCGCTAGAAAACCAGAAAATTTGTCAAATAGCTATTTATTTTTACAAAGACTTTTAAAGGCATATGTTGTGTTACACTCATGCATGCTCAAAAATGTTGTCCATGCCCTTCAGAACAGTGTCTTAACCTAGAAGTCCAAGCTCGTACAGAGTTTTGAAGGAAAGATTGTGGGATCCGATTCAACCTATAGGCTGCACATTTATTTGTTATCGTCATCTTATCTGATCTTCAAATTTTCTTCTTTTCTGGCGACCACCGTGTATATATACTCTGTAATAAGTCTTAACTCTTAACAAAAGAGTGTTTCTTCATTTTCGATTAATCTAGGATCTGTGCAAAGAGTTACTGTCATAAATTTTTAATTCTACCTATTATCTTGTTTTCTGTGATATGAATTTAGTTTTAATAAACATATACCATATAATTTGATCTGAAATCCTTCCCTACCATCGTAGCGGGACTTGATATGATTCATTTATAATTGAAGTGTATTCGCGAGTTTGGTAATAACCTAACTATGGTACCACAGTCACTCGGGTTGGAACTGTAACAATGAGGAGGTTATCCTTATAATCCGACTGACTTCATCAAAATATTTTACAAAGAGTGATCGAAAAATTACCAATATTACTGATACCCATAATCTTCTTGATCAGTCTCAATTACATTATCAAAATGCCAGACATCCTTCTTTTAATAAACATTTAGAATAGGATTTACATATTTATTACCCTGGGAGCGAGGAAAGTCAATAAGATGGCTTAATGATATGGCGAGCCACGGCATCTAGTCCGGTTAGCCAGTTATTTGTGTCAGATGCATGTACTTAATGGTGGAGGAATGAACCACCTCACTGCGACAAGGAGTCCAGCGATCCTCTCGCATATAATTATCCACAAGAAGCTAACCCACGCAGGGTAATCAGAGGTGCAGTGGCGGGCTTATCACCATGCACCACACCGCCTATTGTCTCAGTATTATTTCTTTGAATAGCCTATGGGTTGACTGACAACAATTTTAAACAGAATCCAGCACAATGAGCCCTTATTCCATTGTCATTTCCAGCAGACTTCCTTTTTTTCAAATGTCGGCTGGACATAGAACAGTTAACACACTTCATGACAGATGGATACAGAGCTTTGTGTGCTCTCTCTCAGTTTGACCTTTGACCTTTTTATTTGTCAGCAAGTTCATGACTGTCATGTAGTTACTTCTGATTTCTTCCGTTTTTTCTTCTTAGGCTTAATATTATGGTTAATATCACCAGAAGTGGTTAATCGATTGTGATTGGTTAACTTTGTGTTTTTATTGACACATCTCCGAAAAGCCCCCTCCCCACTTTTCAAAATAGTGTCTCCAGTCATGCATACCGAGGCAAATTTCAGTCTTTCCTCTTCGTCCGAAGATCTGTATAAATACAAAATTGTAAATTTGTGGACAAGATTGACAATGGTAGTGTCTAAATGGGGCAACAAGGCCAATAGATAATTTTCATAAATTTATTGCCGGACTTCGTAAATAATAGTCAACCTCTTCGCAGGCTCCATAACACTAAAAGTTTGAGAACTGAATTTTGGCACCATAGGTAAAGATCTTAGATCAACCCCATCGCTAACACTAACTTGGGCAGCAATTTTTCAAAAATAGCATATCAGCAGAGTTTTGTGTAAAATGAAAATGTGGCTACGACTCCCAAATAAATCATAAATAATTAAGTTAACAAACTGATATTAACTTGTTTTCTGATGTGCATTATAGTTTGAGATGACAATAGCGAAGTTTAAGATCAAAAGGTGCAATGGAAAGTGTATAGCATGGTGCGACAACCACCTATGATATGATAAAAAATGATTGTCGTGATCAGAATTCGTAAGCGTAAACATTTTTTTTTCAAAGATCATCCAGATGAGGATACACTCAGGGAATCTCAACGGTATTACCACTATCTATAGAGATTATTTTCAATCTCAAAGTTCTTACTCATCTGAAGATAAAGCTGTGGAACGTTTCTTCATCTCTGATTGTTTCAATCTGAGATTCAATATATCTCGATCATTTGCTTCCTTCAGAAAAGATTCTGATGACTGGAGTAATTTTATCCCACAGTTATCAAGGTCTTGTGTGTTGTTTGGTTTTGTAATGTTGGAATTTTTCTGTATTTCTATTATTCTGAAATAATATTTAAAGATGGGTGAGCGTCGAGCGAACATGTACTACTTTTTTGGACATTACCTTTTCATCTAAAATCTGTACGTTTCAAACCTAACTTGGGGATTTGTTCACTTCCCCAATTATGTAATCAGTTTTATTTGTTTTGTTTTTATCAATTAGTTCATCGTGTTCTATGCTGATTATGGGTCAAAATATACTAGGTTTATTACTTATCTGAATATTGTGTATCTTGGTTATGATTCTGTTATCGAAAATAGAGAGTTTGATATTAAACTACAAACCAAACGTATCTAACAATTTGATTTTATTGCTTTTAGGATTCTGGCCTTTATTTTGAATATATTTACTTTTTATCAACATAGAGTATATTTTATGATAGAAAATAGAACAAAAAGAAGCAGTATTATACCAACACATTCTTTTGGTCTATTTTGACTGCTAAGCAGCTGTATTTTTGAATAGACACATGGTATGTTTACAGTTTCATTTTCCAAAATATGCATGGTTGAAAATGTATTAGTGAACAAACCCATCCAAGTATGAAGATAGTTTCTTAGAAATGAATGATTTGAACTCTGGTGTTGAGGTCAGTTCAAATTGTTTGTCAGATTCTTCATTTCCATTCTTTCTCAGTGATGGCTTGTCCACAATGTTCTTCTTCTTTGGTGGTTTCGAATCTTTTTTCTATATTTTTATAAGAAACTCATTGTTAGAAATATTGCAATACATCTTCTTTTTGCTACTTAGTTAGTTATTAGAATGAGTATAGGTTTATTTTGACTCCATAATCAGCATAATTGACGATAAAATAATTGATAAGAACAAAATAAATGAAACCGATTATAGAATCGGGTGAGCAAACAAAACCTCAAGTAAGGTTTGAAGAGTACACATTTTAGATGGAAGGTTATTGTTAAAAGAAGTAGTATGTGTTCGCTCACCTAAAAGTATTAAAACTATTTGAAGCACTCAAACAATTACATGTTCGCCGCATCTGGCGAAGATAGTGACGTATTGAATTTGAGTAGGGCTAAGTCTGGTAGATAATGATTAATGATAACATTTCTATCGTTCAATACAGACGCACGTTTGATCGGACTCTGTAGTATTTTAGTCACCGATGAATTTTGAAAAAAGTTTCCGCATCTGCTACAGGAGTGGTGACTCCTCTACGGCCCCATCAGAAAAAATTCAATTATCTTAACAAAATTTTCAATTTTTATCAAATTGTCAATATTCGAACCAAAAAAATACACTACTGTAGTATGTGTACCAGGTTAGGGTTAGGACAAAAAAAATTCAGATTTTTTACATTATAGTTCTATTATGAGTTCGGGGACTGTCTGTGTTAGCCAAGTGAATAGTTTCTGTACACAACTTGATGGGCCGCGGCCCGTAGCCTGATGGGCCGAGGCCCAATTCGATGGGCCGTGGCCCCGGCCCATGGGCCGCAGAGGAGTCACCACTCCCACTCCGCATCTGGCGAAGATAGTGACGTATTGAATTTGAGTAGGGCCAAGTCTGGGTAGATAATGATATGTAACGATAATCATAGAAAATGAGTTCGTCTTCAGATGTTATTACCTAATAACTAAGTACGAAATCGCGTTTACGGGAACTTGGTTTTACGTGTCTTGCTCTCACAGAATAAAAGGTTGATTTTATTTGATAGTGGTTAAATTTAATATTTTACAACGGCGCATAGGTTGCAGTGGCCACACGCTGGTTCAGCATCTAATTAATTCTCAGCGGGTATGTTGTAGTATACTCGACAGACTTACATTAATAATGATTTAACGCCGTTTCATGTCTATTTTGTATTTAACCACTTACTATTAAAGTTATTTTGTATTTAACCACTTACTATTAAAGTGTGTAAAGCGTGTCTCAATTTAGCATATCAGTATTTATTAGTATTTAGGGATTACATACATTTGGAACAATTGAGGGCAAAAAATATTGTAGTATTCCTAAATTTTATTGTCCTGGGAACTGCCTGTTTAGTATCAAATGAAATCCAATGTTCAGGACATTTCCAAATAGATAATACATTTATAGTGAGTAATACATTTGCAATTTTTTACCATCTAAATCCAGCAATGTAGAAATTCCCACTATTTGAATAAGTATGAAAATAGAATAGGATTCGGTATTCTGGATTCGATTTAACTATTCTAGAATAATAAATTATTCTACATTGCCCATCCCTAAATCCGACCGACTTCATCAAAATATTTTGCAAAGAGTGATTGAAAAATTACCAATATTACTGATACCCATACTCTTCTTGTTCAGTACGAGTCTCAATTACATTATCAGCAAAATGCCAGACATCCTTCTTTTAACAAATATTTAGAATGGGATTTACATATTGATTACCCTGTGAGAGGGGAAAGTCAATAAGACGGCTTATCCATATGGTGAACCACGGCCTCTCGTCCGGTTACCATTCGAAGTCGGGTATGGGATTAGATTTACTGTATTGTTTGTTTTCGGAAACATGGACTTGGTGGTAGAGGAAGCCGTAACCGACCAGCGTTTACGTGAACCACCCAACGACGGCGAGGAGTCCAGCAATCCTCTCGCACATAACCATCCCTGCATGGGATTCGAACCTGCGAACCCACGCAGAGTACGGTAGTTAGAGGTGCGGTGGCGAGCGTACCGTATTCCTAACGCTTAGCCCGTTGAGCCACACCGCCGCGCCTATGTTGCTATACCTTATTCATATGATCAATAAGTTCTTCCGAAGCAGCTTCGAGGAGACGTCGTTTCATGACATCATCTTCATCATCGGACGAACTGGACATTTCCGCAAGTATCACTCAGATACTATTCAGAAATCTCGACCATTTGTGATCTGAATTTGTAACCGAGAGACAAGATTTCTTCTGCGTGTTTTCATGTTTGGCACCATTCAGATACCAGTGGCACCATCATGATGCCTCATTTTAATTTCACTCGAAATTTGGATTTAGTTTTTTTTTTAGTATATTGTTGATAAATTGCAAAATTCAATTGAATTATTGGGCAATTTTAAGTTATTAATTCAAGTAATACACTCTATAATAGCAATAACTTAATCGCATTAAAAAAAAAACATAAGTCAGATGTCACGACTTCCAGAGAACAAAATTTATTTTCCCGCTGCCCTGCCGGTTGTAGACTTCTGCGCTTTCATATTTCGAGGTTAGTCTGCTGTTTGGGTATTAGTCAGCCCTGATTTCTATCAGACAACACCGTGAACTATGGGGACGTGCTCAGCTTTAAATTGCAATAATCGTTCCGATGGGAAACCCCTGAGCGATGGCACAAAAGTAAGAATGTTTAGATTTCCTGCCGATCCAGTGAGAAGAAAGAAGTGGTTGATCAACATGAGACGTCGACACTTTGCGCCTAGAAAATATAGTGCTCTATGCCAGGTACGGATACAGTTATTGGCATTTTATTTACAGTGCACAACTCTGATTGGTAGGGTGGTTCATCTAACTGCTTGTCGGTTACTGCTTCCTCCACCACGAAGTCCATGAATCTGAAATAATTAACTGGCTAACTAATCCCAGAATCCCATACTTTTGACATAGACTGGTAACCATACAAAAGGCCATGGCTTGCTATATGATGTCATTTACAGGTTTACCGCTGGGATAAATATGTAAATACTATCCTTTCTAGATTTTCTCAAGATCAAATACTGAAATGAGAAATCGTATTCGATCCTTGAACCTTATTTTAATATTAAACTGTATCGTAGTTTAAAGAATCACTAGAAACAAAACTAGTGCGGTTTACCAACTTTGCCATTACAGCATATTTGCGGTCATTATCTTCAGCAACTAAGTTTACTAATTCCTATTACAGTATGGCACACTATAAATCGGGTGACGTTGTCTCGTTTCAGAGAAATCCATTTTCCAAATGATCAGACACCCCTCTTTTGGGAGACGTCTGGACATTGTTGTTCCTCAATATCGGTAATAATACAGTATAATGAAGTTAGGCAAAATACTACAGAGAAACGCAATCTAGTTATGTCATCATTGAATTCCTTGGGAAAAAATAATCTGATTTACAGAAGGAAAAAAAATTTTATTGTAGCATTCAAGAATTTTTAGCAAAAAAACGGCAATTATGGTCATGTGACGGCCGCGATTATTTCAGATTATTATTGAGACAAGCATGGCGCGATATGAAGCATCTGACGTGGTCCCAGACACCCCTTGTTTCTGAGACACATAGAGTGTTTGTTTTATTGAGTCAAATGGAGGGAAACTCTTGGAATTTGAATAGTGTGCTGTACTGTATGTTAGCTTATAAGAGATCTGCAAAAACCACCAAAAAAATACCAAAAATCCTGCAATAACAAGCAAAAACATGCATAAAGAGTGAAAGGCGTTTTCATCAGCCCATATTTTTTTTAATATTTTTTATCAATACTGTTTTAGGTTCATTTTGAAATAACCCAGTTTGAGCTGCGACGAGCTGATGGAAAAAAGAAATTGAAGCTAAATGCAGTTCCAACTATTTTTGATCATACTGGTTCATCCACTTATACAGCAGAAAAACCAAGAATTAGAAGCAGTTCGAAACAATTAAAGACGGATTTACGAGGTAATTAAGGTTATTGGGGTCACCTGAAGTACGCGTCCTTGAGTACTTCTAGTGGGCGTAGCATAACGATTTTATTAGTATAGTATTCCTAACACCCACCTGAGTTTGTCACCCAAAAATTACATCACTGCGACATCACAATTGCGTCATAGAGCTTGCTAAAGTATAGCTACGATAGTCCGAAACGGCATCTGTGACGACTATAATGAACTCACTAATGTCAGCGTTCTCTCTCATATCGTTTCGACGAGAAAACGAGAGAAATAGCTTTCTCGATTTCAGATGATTGTCTGCGCGACCATCCGTATACTTTGGAGGGACATAATATGTCACTCGACTTCGCAGTGATGTAATTTTCGGATGACACAGTCGGGTAGGGGTTAGGAATGACATATGTAAAAGTTGTTGAGCCAGGCCAACTAAAAGTATTTGCGGTGTGTACTTTAGGAGACCGGGATATTGTCAGTGTTTGGGAGTCTCAAGTCATTGACTCCCCAAGTTTTGAAGTTTCAGTTCTTCAATTCCAAGATGTCCCGACATTTGGTTCAATAAAAAATATCCACTCTATTTGTCTCTGAAAAATGATCAACTTAACTGGAGTTCGACTCAATTCGCCATTTACAGTATGGCATAAGTTTTCTGATTCCAAGAATAGCACCCACATTAAAAAACATCAATTATAAAAGTGATTGCAAACCCCTCTTTTATGAGACCTCTTTTTCATTTCAAAGACAAATTGTAATTTATTTTATTGAACCAAATTAGTCACCCTCTAGATATTAAGCTCAGGTTGGAAGGACCCAAATTTATTTGCTCAATATTACATCCTAGATGAGGTGATAGGCACATAATTCAAACCTGAGATTTTATTAAACTACGATGCTAACATAGTCAATCCTAATGCTTCAATCGCTAAAAGTTGGAAGTTTCATTGATTTTTTTATTATTAGATCCTGATTATGTAAAGATAAAAAGGAGATTGTCAAGGAGGAAAACAGCTAGGAAACAGAAAAAAGAATCAATGGAAGTTGGTATGTATTTAATAATGTCCACGCCCGGGACCTTCTTTATTTCTTTACTCCTCCAAATAATTGGTCAAAAGAGGAGAGAAAGTCATTATGTGCTACAGGGATATCAGCACCTGGCATACCAAGATAGAAGAATTTATCGTTAAATTCAGAGGAGAAGGGTAACGAGAAATAAGTTATTTAGAAGCGCTGGTCTTGATGCTTTATTAGTATTTACATATTTCAGGCTCAGTTGGCCAGTTATTACTTATCGATCTTAAGATCGGTAAGTATATTGATAGGTATTTGTCTGTATGTATGTCTGTCTGTCTGTGTGTGTGTCTGTTAGATGAACGCGATATCTCGCGAACGCGTGGTTGAATCTGCTCCAAATTTTGCATGTGCATGCATCTTACCTCGGACCAGAAGCCTATAGATTTCGGGTTAATTATGTCGTATAATTAGCGAGTTATTAACTAATTACCGATCTAAGATCGATAAGTCTTCGGTCTCCGACCGATATTCTCGTTTGTTTTTCGAAGCATGAACAGCGTTTGCGTGAACCCCCCTGCGATGGCTAGGAGTCCAGCAATTCTCTTGCACATAATTTACCTTGCATCAGATTCGAACCAATGAAGGGTAATCAGAGGTGTGGTGGCTAGTGTATTCCTGATGCTTAGCACGATGTGCCGCACCGTCTAACCAGTGGGGAGCAAAAAGATTGAAACCTAAGTTATTTAATTTACCCTTGCTACAATAGTAGACTTCCAGTTTTGGAAGATCTCGTAATATTTTTGATGGGGTTCAAATCAGAAATCTTCACCTTGCTAAGGCAACAATTAAAATCTTTTGTTCACTATTAACAGAAACACCGATTGTAAAACTAGAGCCAGTGCCTGATGACGGCGCATTACCAGTCAGTGATGCGAGTAAAAACAATCTTAATGTTCAAACTCTTGAACTTGTTGAAATACTCGACACTGGGATTCATAAACAATCTTCAATTTGTGAAAACTGTGAATTGTTGAAAAATGAAAATATATCGTTAACAAATGATTCTGAAGTATTGAAGAAAGAAAATGAAACGTTAAACACAGAAAATGGAAAACTAAAAAATGAGGTAAATTTTAGTCAATCCTCTATTTTACAATGAAAGTTTATGGATTTTGAAATGAGTATCTGGAGTTCATGTACTGGTAAGTGGCAGGAAGTTGTTTACAGCCACATGATTGAGCTCTTGTATTGCCTTGTTAGGGAGACTTGACTCGAATTATCATTCGTCAAAGACCGAATCATCTAAATCAGGGGTGTACAAGGGCCACAATGTGAGCTTGTGTGAAATAACTTAATAATTTTAGGTGAGTAAACACGTACCACTTCCTCTTGGCAAAACCTTCCATCTTATATTTTGTACGTTATAAACCTTATCTAAGGTTTTGTTTGCTCCCCTGATTTCATAATCAGTTTTTATTTATTTGTTTTTATCTGTCAAATGTATTGTTATGCTGATTATGGAGTCGAAATAAACTTATACTTATACCAATACCATTTAGCCTCGGGATAAATATGTAAATCCTATGTTACTTTGCTAGTAACACACTTTCTTGTTTTCAAGGTCTCCGTTCTCCAAAAGCAACTCATGTTCTTGGATTTAGCGTTGAAAGAATATTTGAATGAAGAACAACAAAAATTATTTCACGTTATTGCAAAGACTGTTGAATATGAGTGGGAGGATGATTGACGATGGAAAAGAGAATGCTGCCAACTAGTGGACAAACCTGGTTTGCTGTGTTAGGAACGTGATCGCCATCACTAATTAGTCATTACAAGTCCATGCATTTGATGGCGCTCCGGAAGTATTCAGACCAAGATTATTCTCCCCTGGGATAATATAAAAACCATATTCCATCCACTGTTGAAAACCAGATAGTGATTGGAGACCGGGGACTTATCGATCTTCCGTATGTTTCATATTTTACGCTATCGAAAGTTGGGACATTGATAACTCGTTAATTATACGACATAATTCATCTAGAATCATAGGCTTCTGGTCCGAGGTATGATGAATGGAACAGATTCAACCTCGCTTTCGTGAGATATTGTGTAACATACGAAAGTGTGTAACAGTCAAATATGTATCAACATACTTACCGACCGAGATCGATAAGTAATGAGTGAGGGGGGGAGGTGATTGACAAGAAAATAGGCTGCCCTCTAGTGGAAAAATCAGGTTGTGTTTCATTGTGGTGACTGGCTTGCCATTGCACCTTTCTATCATCATTCATTGATTATGGATTACTTTTCCTTCCAAATCCATGATAAACTGGTTAACCGCACCACACCACGAGACTGGAAAATATTCTAATAAAACTTCAAGTAAACTCACCATATTTCAATATTCCACTTCGAAACTTGACAATTTATTTAAGTTGCAATATTTTTACTTTTAATAAAAAAGACTGTCTATATTTGTTTTTGTATAAGAAGTCGTATACTTAGTTTGAGCAGGCAGTTTTGAACCACTTCTAATCTTTACTCAAACCCTCAAACTAAAATTGGAAAGAGCTGTTATTAACACTAGCAGTAGAAATGAAGGGTAGCTGATTCAAAGCAATTAAAGTGAAATCTACAAAGCAGGGAAAATCTGATTTCATTGAATTATTAATTTAGACAGGTGTATGAAAGACTATTTGGGGAAAAATTATTCTTGCGTGAGGAAAACAAAACTTTTTAAAGAAGAGCATGCTCCGATGAATATCGCTAGGGAAACCAGTAGTTGGGTTCATATGCAGGACCAGAAAAGCATCGAGTTTATCATGATTCACCAGGCCACAGAATGTACCATTGGAGTGGAGCCAGTGCAAATTTGGTTTTCAAGTTCTCAAACCATAATAGAGTAAGTCAGGGGTTCTGTTCCAACTTTCATTTGGTAAATCGACAATAAAAACAGTGCTACCATCAAAACTTAGTGATGGGGGGGGAAGGATACCAGTCAGTTACCGATATGGTGCCGCAACTTAAACCTATGTAGAGCCATACCCTTTTTTTCCATTAAGAAATAGTTTACCCTTCCATATACAAACAACAACGAAATACCCAAGACACCTTTTATTGAGCAACTGGCAATGTTAAATGCTGTTGTAATTTAGCCATCACATTTGGGATACGATCTTTCGTAACTAGTAAAACAGTTCTGCATGATTGCATTTCAGCCGAATCCTCCTCCCACTTGCCTGATAACAAAGCAGCAGCGCCCACTGGTGTATACGTAAAATGAACATCAGCCTCCTCAAAAAACAACTCTTCCTCAGAATTGATAAATTGGAGTTTAGAAGAGTCGAATTTTTTACCCTCGGGTGTGAGGGGGCAGTATGTTTTACATATCATGATATAGTGGGTGAATTCATAACAGTTTTTGTGTTTCTTATTACTCCTGGCTTCCACTAACTCAGTCTGCAACTTTTCAAACATCGGGAGCGAGACCTAGGAACAATAGAATAAAAATGAATAATTATCAAAAGAACCTGTTACTCCAGACCCCAGATGACAAAAATTTGACCTGCAAAAGCACATGATCAAACGTGTCTGTTGACTGAAATGTACTCTTTTGAGCAATCAATGTTATCATGATCCTGCTTTGAGGAAAGGATGTCTAGTCTGTCGCCCTATTTTCCTCCTTATGTTACCGCGCACAAGAGTAGTCACAGTCGTTAAGAGAGCATATTTTGACGTTTGCGATAAAATAATAGTTGAGAACCACTGGTTTAAATATTTATTGCTATCAGGTTCAACCACTTATACTCACAGAACACGGGAGTAAAAGGTTCTTTTGATATTTGTCAACAGGTGAATAAAGGTTGAGAAACCTCTTCTGAAGCAAAACTTGACTTTTGATAAAGGCTGTGGCAAACCATTAACAAGTCATACCTGAGGTGGAATGTTGATAAACCTCTCATTAATGATCCAACCAACACAACCATCTTCTTTATTTGATTCCAATATCTATAAAGTAATATATTAATTTGAGACCTCCAGAAGCATGCGTACCAAGATGGCGCATAACCTGAACATAGTATGTGTGTACTGGTGGGGATTCAGGTTGTGCAACATCTTGGTGCGCATACTTCTGGAGCACCTTAATTTGAGTTGAGTGTGATGGTAATTTTCTGAAAATACAACATTTTATAGTATGGATAAAGCTTTCTGCAAAACTCTTTTAATCCAGGGGTCAGGAAAATACAGCGTACACCCATTTTTTGTGGCCCCCGAACGAACTCATTTTCGATGCATAAAAACAAAGTGCTCACGAGTTTATTATCTGCAGATGTATGTCATAACAATGGCTGTTTTACAGCATTCATTTAGTATAAGTAGAGTAATAGTATGTTCAATGTGGGGATTTTTTATAAACTGAAATTAATGCGGCTCGCACGTTATTGGAAATGTAAATATTTGGCTCAGTAGTACATAAAGTTTGCCCACCACTACTTTACTCCAAAAATACAAAAATGGCATAACAATGTTTCAAAGCTTAAGGCATCATAAGCATTGTATAAAAAATATTCAAAATAAAAAAGTAACTCGAGTTGTCAACACATTGACATCCATACCATTTTAAATTTCTCCTTGCAAGATTCCTCAGTTTCGAATTTCTCACAATTCAAAGCCAATATTTTGAGTAGTTGCTTGATCGCATCGTTCTGTTCATGCATTCCATTCAAACTTAAACAACTTGTAACCCCAAATACTTGATCATTATCATCGCCATCGTCACTTTCATCTTCTTCAAACTGTAAATGTATAAAGTTTTCATTTTTGTCCCAGGTGAGAAGAAAGCTGATGATACAGCTTAATCCTATACTCGATCAGTTACCAGTCTATTGGGAAATAATTATTTGTTTCGTAGCCATGAGCTTGATGGTATAGGAAGCTGCAACTGATCAGCGGTTACGTGAACCACACTACCACAACGACGGCTTCTCGTCTAGTTACCAGTCCATGTCAGGTGTAAGAATAGTTAGCCTGTTGTTAGATTCCATATGCATGGTCTTGGTGGAGGAAACCATGACCAGCTGTTACATGAACCACTCCACGTTGATGAGAAGTCCAGCAACCACCCTATAATTTTCCTACAATGCAGGATTCGTACCCTCAAGCATACGTGATGACAAGAGTATTTCTAACGCTCATCATAATGCGCCAACTGATTTTGCATCATCTAATTTACTATACACTGGGTTAGGCAGGTTCACAAAGTCACAATTATTCTCCTTTAATTCTGAGATGTGTGTGAACACATGACCCTGTTTTGGATTAATTATCTCAAAGAAAAAACTGACTTACTTCACTCTGTTTCAGTAAGGTTCCAATAAAATTCTGTCCGATAAGTATATTAGCAATCTCGCTGATATCAACATTATCTTTGGGGAATAATTGATGCAGCATTTGACGAATTCCATGAAAGTCACTGTCAGTTATGCTGAAACCTGAAAAAAAAAGTTCAATTATTCTTGTTGTAGTGTGCTAAACGTTGGAATCCGTTGTTTATATTCTGCCATTATTACAATATCATACATTGTGTTATAATCACTAATTATCTCCAAGCGACAATGGACTGTATCGGCCAAATTGCATTAATTATGAACTGTTACGAGTATCAGACGGTGGACCGATTAAGTGATTATGTTGCATGTTCTCGTGTGTTAGGTTAAAATGCGTTTTTAGTTTCTTAAAGCCATAATTTTGGTTTCAATAAATAAACTGTCACAACAGTTTATTTCCAACCAGGAGAGACTGGCATTTATCGAAAGGTACAACACAAAGTTGCACTATTTGAAAGGACACAAAATTATGGGTTGAAGAGGTGCGATTAGATTTTTTGTATATTTATTACATAGAGGACAGTAGTAAAATGGCTGAATGTCCAATTGCATTGCTCTCTCAATATTTATCAATCACACCAAATGAATTATATTCAAGCAAATTTTATCAGTTCAAGTTTCAAACATGGCCAGATAAAAAATTATGCTCTCTATTATCTCGTGACTAACATTTTGATTATCTTGTGACTGACATTAACATTTTGAAACACTGATATAACCCAGGTTGAGCGGGGTTTTTGGACCAGGAGGCCAAAAATTTTGCCCATTTAGACTGGCGGGCCATGTAAGTGTGACGTGAAAAGTTATACTTAATGAACATTGAATTTACAGTGTTCCAAACGCGTAACCCTAACTAAATTTAAACACAAACTCGACAAATTCCTTGAGCTAATTTTTAGTAAATTTAGTTTTTAGTTTGCTTGTGGCAATTGTCAAAACAGATTTGGGATTTCAATAACAACAACTACATAGCGCATGCATAATTGATTGAATGCAGAAATTTATGGCAGCATCAGGCAGGCCAGATTGAATCACCAAACAGGCCAGATTTGGCCTGCGATCTGTAGTGTTTGCCAATGTCAGATCTAACCCTTAAAAACCCTACCTTCAAAATCGACTTGAATTTCTTCATTAATTTCCATATTCTCATCTCCCTCTTGCTCCTCATCTGATCCCATATCTTCTACTATACATTCTTCATCACTACTTTCATCTTCAGGACGAGGCTTCTTTGGGTCAGCCATCTGTAAGAGGAAAGAGTTATAGTTTACTATATTAGCATAGAAAAATGGTCTTCTTCCGGTACTACCGTAGTGTGTGTAACAGGTAAGGGATGGATAGATAGGATTATTTGATTCGATTTTCCTCATTTTAGTTCTATTTCGAGTTCTGGGACTGTCTGTGTTAGCCACACAATATTGGTAGGCTACACACACTTCTGAAGCACCCTTCTTCATACAGCAATAATCGAGCCAAACTATTCAAGTACCTATACTGAAATGACAGACAAAAGTTCTCTTTAGAAGTAATCCTTCAAATAGCTTTTTTATCCACTCAGGCAAACGAGCACAATAAACAAAATATAAAAATTAATTAAATGATGTACAAAATGGCAGTTGGATCTTCTATTCAGTGGATAGCATACCATAGTTGCAATATAAGGATGTCCAAAAGTTTTTGGACGATTTCGTAGTAATACCAATTAATATTTTTTTTTGTTTATCAATAGTTCTTGTAGCGGAATATGCTTGTGGTTCCCATTTATCATACAATAAAATTTATTTAAATTTACAATTGTCATTACTATAAAGTCGGGGGAATTTTTTGAACATTATGTAAGAACACCAAAGACAAAATTAGGCAAAATGTCAGTGTGAATAATTAGAAACAAGTATGGCACAGACTGAATATAGCACACCAGGTCAAAAGGTGATTGAAGTCTATATTTCGCCTCTTTCCTAATTTACATACCTTTTATGAAGTCTTGGATGTAGAAGTCTCACTAGATCCAACCAATGTGAGTTTGCTGTTCTTGCCTGCTTGTAAGACAATCTCCTTTTCTATTTTCTTATTAATTTCAACTTGAAGACCCTGAGAAGTAAAATCAGAAATGTTACACAACTTGAAACCATTCGAGACAAACTGTTAGGGTAACAGCCAAGCAATTCCACAAAAAAGCCACAAACCAAAAAATAATGCTGTAAGTTCATAAGTTGGTCAAAGACAAATTATTGAATACAAAGTGGATCTTTAGATCGTTTTGTTATTATTGTTAGTATTTCTCGTCTTGTTGTATTTATTGTAGTTGTAAATTATCACTACCATATCGCTCCCTCCAGTCTTTACCACAAAACAGCGTCCATTTATTTGTATGTATCAATGCACGGCTTGCACGCCTTCACATTTACATTTCTTTTGGTTCGTAAATAAATAAATTTATCTACCTCTATCGGACCTATTGCTTTAAAATTTTCAGTGGTTAAACATTGTTGTTGTCGCTAGAGGCTACTTCTATTTATTTCAAAAGTTTCTATGGGGTTCGCTTTGGACTTGTAATTTTTGTGTGATGACGTCATCAAAATTGAATATTACTCAATGGGGCGGGCCTGTGATCTCATCTCAGCGATCTGGTGGTCAGCCTACTGGTACTAAACAAGTATCAAAAGATACCCGGGCTCAGTAAAGTTATAGGTTGAGCCAAATTTTACAAAGTTACTGAAACTGTACTAATTGAGTGTTGGAATAGCAATGAATGATAATGGAATACTGTACTTTGAGAGTTACTGTATATGTGTAGTAATTCACAATAAACATTCTACCTTTTTAAGTTGAGCAGACTGGATTGCCCTGGCTTTTTTAGGTTTTATCACTCTTCCTGAAAACAGAAAAATCGTTAGAAAATTTGTAATTAATATATAACCGCCAGTTGCAGTAACCTGGTGATTTGACTCGACTTTGGGACTTGGACCTCTGCTAACCCTTGACTTGACTCACGACTCAGGGTTTGGGGACTTCCCTATCCAACCCCTTTTTTACTAATGTATCAAAAACACACAACTACCAAAAGTTTAACAAGAAAATATAATCGGATTGGACTTAATTTACACCTTGTATTAAGCAAATGCCAATAAAACACTAAATAAAAATCAAATCTGTATATATTTCCTGACTTAACTCTAAACAAGGCTTTCACCGAGTAGCCACTGATACTCAGAGCTTTTATTTTGAAAGGACTAGAATTTTCCAGTGAGGAATTGCCTACCCAATTTATTACTACACCCATAGTGAGGTGGTGGGCATAGGATTTTAATTCTAACTGTTTAAACCAGTGGTTCTCAGCCTTTTCTAGCGTCAGAGACAAACTTCAAACCTTAAAGCTGTAAGGAGTCGCATAAAAAACAACACAAATTAAAATAGCGATATAACAAATCTTGAATATGTATTAAAAACATCAACAAAACTCGAGGCGAATACTGATTTAACGCTAAAATTGACATTGGCTTTGAATTTTAATTCTAAAGTCTGACAAAGCAAGGTGTCGTGATGGATGCATTCTTCAGCAATATATATATGACAATAGGTACTCCCGAAGTATGTGAACCAAGACGGAGGACAACGAAACGTAGTATGTGTATCAGTACCAGGTTAGGCCATAATTTCAGGTACAAATACTACGGGAGTCACTTTGCCAGTCCCCAAATTTGTAATAGAACTAAAATAAGGAAAATTGGAATAAAATTATGGCCTAACCCTAACCTGGTACACATACTACGTTCCGGTGTCCGCCATCTTGGTTTACATAATTCGGAAGTACCTAACAATAATGAGAGCCTCTAAGACAGGGGTCGGCAACCTACGGTCCGCGGAGCAATATAATCCGGCCCGCGCCGCTTCACTGAATTATAGTAACAAATTATAGCTGTTTTGTCGATTATATTCTTTACGCAAAAGAATTTTTGTGTAGACTAAATTATATTATAACGTAATAAGTATATAATTCACAATTACTCGTTTAATGAGCCTATAATTTAATTATAATTCAGACAAATGACAACAAAACGCAGAAAAGTTGATGCTAAGTGCAAATGGTTTAATGGCGCAAAATAATTCAAATGTTCAGTCTTCGCGCGCTGCTTAAAATTTAACTTCTGATCTGTGTGATGAAACGTGATTTATCGGTCATCCATTCCATTTTCAACATTCTAAAAGTATGTGCGGGCGCCAATGACTTGCAACCTTTAATTTTGGCCCGTGTGCGACAAAAGGTTGCCGACCCCTGGTATAAGAGCAGTAATTAATCACTGCTTAACCACTTTATTAAAATCCTCACCTCCCTTCTTTGGTCCTTTATTCTTTTTATGATTTACTTTCTTCTGTGAAGCTTTTGGTATTTTCACTTTTGTTTTGAGTTTACCTTGAGGCATCAGGCACAATAACGTGAATTAAGAATAAATTCTAGATCTGAACTAGAAATATAGCAGAAAGAAGAAAGGTTGAAATAAAGTAAACATATACAAGAGAAATAAACTAAACTAACAATGCAGCCATGGGTGGGTTAAGTGAATGATATAAATAAATTTTAATTCAAACTATTTCAGAAAAAGTTTTAAATGTTTGTCTTCTACAAATTACCACCCAAAATTTTCCCAGTCATGAAAAAAATATTTAACTGGAAGTAAAATTAAATAATGATTTCCAATAAAGGAATAAAATTGTGACAAAAATCCGAATAAATACACTCTACACATGCCTGGCTTTTTAATGATCAACAATAAGCATATGAAACAGACCAGTCATTACTGTGAGCGGTTAATTAATAATAATTATAGCGGCATTGGCTTGGTCAAAGTGAAAAATGAAATATACTTCTTTGACAGGTGAATGACTAGACTTTAAACATTTTCATACCTTCACAAATTTTGGGAAACAAAATAGAAACGAAAGATATATTATATAACGTTAGCAATACACAGTAACGTAAACCGTTTTGACCGCTAGGAAATAGAGCCTGTGAAACATTAAAGTGGAATTATTGATTTTGAATAAAGTAATGAAAACAGTACAAATACACTTTAGACCAGGGGCCGGCAAACTTTTGTCGTTCGTGGGCCAAAATTAAAGGTTGTGAGTCATTGGCGGGCCGCACATATTTTTAGAAAGTTAAAAACCGAGGGAATGGCCAATGAATCACATTTTTCCACACAGATTTCAGTTAAATTTCAAGAAGCGCGGGAAGACTGATCATTTGAATATTTTCTGCGCCATCAAACCATTTCCACTCAGCATCAACTTTTTTACGTTCTGTTGCGTTGAGACTTCAAAAATTCCCAACTTAGTCGGTTATCTCTAGAAATCTTTCTTGAAGCGGCTCCTCGCTTAATTGCGTTTCCTTATTCACAAAGCTTTCTCCAAATTGTATTTTGACGTGTCTTTTCTCTTTTCTTTGCTGTTGTTTATAGATTAACGTGGAGATATCAGTGCATTGTATCTGAACATGTCTCTTTTCTTTCGGATGTGATTCGTACTTGAAGTATCTTCCAGTATCACTTTTAATGTAGACAGACACTTCTGCATTTGTTATCACTGCTAAACGTTTAGCCTGTGAATATGAATTAATAAAGAAATATTAAAACAGAATTGAATATTCACATTGATTCTAATTTAGTTGAATTTATTCATTCTGTGGCCGCAATAGCCTAATGCAGTGATTGGCAAACTGTGGGTCCCTGAGTATTTTCTAGTGGGCCTCCAATAAATTCTTATTCAATTCAAAAAGTTACATAAATCCAACATTAAACTGTTTTTTGTTCATATATCATATTATGCCGTACTTAAAAAAGATTTGCTATTTATTAGGAACATATCCTAACCCTATAAACCCTATCAATAAATTGATAGACAAAGATAAAAAGTATCTGGTACTTCCAAAAAAATTGGGGGCCTTTACATGGATCAATCAGGAATCGCATGAACCCCCCCCCCCTCCTGCGACAATAAGGCCGGGACACATGATTATATCCTATCATCTTTGAACCAGAAACCTGCATAATCAGTGATGATAGTGGTACTCATGTAGTATGTGTACCAGGTTAGGGTTAAGCCATAATTTGATCCCATTTTTCCTCATTTTAGTTCTAGTACGAGTTTGGGACTGTCTGTGTTAGCCAAGGGAATATACCCCCTGTCCATAGACTTCTGTCCCTTTACACAACCTAATGTAAAGAAGGCGAACAAAATTAGTTACCTCCATATTGGCATGGTACACACACTTCTGGAGCGCCCAGAATACACTGATCATCAAACTCGTGAATAAGTATGAACATTTGTAGTTACTGTATGACTGATTTTCAACGTTACCTGGTTAAGTACAGTATTTTTTCTTCTAGAGAATGTTTTCTGTCGTAACCTTCTATCATGTTGATATGTTTCCTGTATAGGTCCAGAGTGATGAAGTTTTCTAGGCTTTTCGTTTGAATCAGACTCAATGTCAACTTCTTCAATTTCTGCTGATAAAAACATGAAAATAAGATGAAACAAGGACATCCAAAACCAGTTGAATGTTCAAATTGATTGGCAATTAGTTATATTAGGTTAGGCGTAGGCGCGTAGCCCACAGGTACCTCACAGAAGCGTGTATCTGAACCATTGTATTGGGAATATAAGCTTTATATTATACAGTAATTCAATTCCTCATTTTTTACTTGGGAGCATTTGGAGTAAAATGTTGAGCGACATTATATATTCACTACAGCACCATAATCATTGATTAAAGATTTTTGAGGGGACAACTACCTCATCTGGCGAAATACAGATTTGCAAAAACGAGAATTAAAACTATGATATGAGGGTTTCAAATTAATTTTAGAAATTGAAGTAAAAAAAATTATAAGTTGATAAGAATGTATTTTACTATATTTGTAAAGAGTAATACAAAACTTGAAATAAATAGAAAATCTGAAATAAATAGATGGTTAGCACACTTGGCTAGAGGCACTAAAATTTCTGGTAGCTTTGGCTAAATAAAAATAAATCATAACAGTGAACCAACTTTCATCTTCCAAGTCCAGCTCTGGCCATTCTTCAATTACAGTTTCCGCAGATTCTGGTATCAATTTCCCCGAAGGAGACAAATACTGGTAATATATCGGCGCAATATCATCCCCGAATCCCAATTTCAGATTATTAGATTCGCCCGGTGAAATGCACACGAGTTCAGAAGAAACATCTCCGATTAAATTGTGATATGGTGGATACCCATTGAAAGGTTGCGATAGATTTCGTTGCTGTTTTAAAAAAAATATGAAACTTGAGTTAATTTGGAACATGCATTTGGTCACACAGCTGGTTACTTAGTGCTGTAACGTGTTCACTATTCTGCTATGTAAACACATATATACCGTAAATTGTCTCAAGAATCAGGAATAAGTATAATTTTATTTTGACTTCATAATCCTGTAATCCAGTACTGGTAATCAGCATAATACAGGTAAAAGACAATAAAATAATTTATATAAACAAAATAAATAAAACTGATTACCGTATAGAATCAGGAGAGCAAACAAAACCTCAAATAAGGTTTGAAGCGTACAGATTTTAGATGGAAAGGTACCGTTTGTACGTGTTCGCTCACCCAAAAGAATTAAAACTAATTGAGGCACCTATACACACAATCACCAAGACTTGAAAAGAATAGGATCTCACAACAGCAAAAAAACTTATAAAACTAATGTAGAGGATACCGGTACCAGTAAACAGGGTACAGGTATGTGGGTCGGTCAGTGACAGACCCTCTGGCCTCTTCTTCTGACTGCTGTGACGAACACGTGGCAAAAATCGCCAAGTGCATTCCGGTGTAGGTATCAGCTACCGGTAAGTTGTGGTGCCGGTACGCTACCTTTGGAACAAAATAATTGATATATAACACAACTTACCGATCCTTTGCTCTTATGTCCATTCTGTTTCAGTCCAGCTGGCTTAGACTTCCGTTTCTTTTTGGAAGGCCCCGCTGACTCGGCTTCCACACGCACTTTCCCCATTTTCTCCATAAATTGACGATACAACCCTCATAACAGACTCACGTCGTCCGATTCCGAGAATTAAGCACGCGGTCCGCATTTGCGTAGACATTTTTTCTCCGGGCAATCCGGAATTTATCGAGATTACTATTTATATTTATTCATATATCGAGGGAAAATCCTATTTTATGTAAAATTTTAAATTTACTTTTTTTCATATAACTCGGGTTTCAAAAATAACAACAACTTTATTGACGATACCAACGTAGGCGCTATGGATCTGTATAAAGCAAATCGAAATGATAAAATATTTCGCGAGTCCGGAAAAGTTCCAGTCTACAAAATACATTACGATAAATATCATCAGCAATTGAAATCCATCTAGTCCTAAATTAATTGCAAAGATTGGTAGGAAAATTAACCTATGTACTGTATCATCGAAATTTCAATTACCATCAGCCCTTTTTCTTTTGTCTCCATGGTGGCGAGCATAGTCTTGGGTTACCTTTTTTATATTCCTGAACTCACTAAAATCAAAATATTTTGCTTCTTTCAGTTACCATCAACCCTGATTCTTTTGTCTTCACGGTGGCGAGCATAGTCCTGGGTTACCTTTTTATATTCTTGATCTTACTAAAATCAAAATATTTTGCTTCTTTCAGTTACCATCAACCCTTATTCTATTGTCTCCATGATGGCGAGCATATTCTTGGGTTACCTTTTTATATTCTTGATCTTACTGAAATCAAAATATTTTGCTTCTGTCTTCATTAGCAATCCACAAACCTTACAATTAATGATTAGTAGGCTATATTTGTGTCGTATTTGGTATTTATAATATAATTATTGTTCTGTCTTGCACTGTTGCTTTAAATATTATTGGACACGTAGTGGACATAACGATCGTTTCAATATTATGTTGTTGTTCTTGTTCTTTGACACGTTTTTAAAAAGACGCTTTTCTCTTCGAATACTGGACCAATTGCTTTGAAATTTTCAGTGGTTAAAGATTAATTTTTTCGCTAGAAGGCTATTACTTTTGTTTATTCTTAAATTTTATATGAATCCTATGAGATATGATATTTCATACAAAATTTCGCGGTATTTATTTTTACTCATGGGAACACTGTTTTACACTTATTTCAAGCGGTTTCGCGATCGATTGTCTTGCTCAGTACTACAGCTACTGTAGGTCGGTACTGGTAAGTTGCCATACCGGTACCGTAACGCAGTGAAATTGACTTATTCCTTCCGCGGTATTACTAATGCTGCAATGCAAGTTTTATAGCCTATCGTATGCGGAACGGAATATCAGACCTACAGGTTCGGTACCGGTACTGGTAGCTCAGTACGTAAGTACGATACTGGTACTGGTGCCGGTACCGGTGTCTTACCACAATGAAATTACCGTAACTTATTCTTTCACGGTCCTACCAGTGCAGTAATGCAAGCGTTGTAGCACTTGTAGCCTACTATATTTGTTTATTTTGATGAGAGTCTACTGGAAACAACATAAAATTTGAAAGGGAAGAATTGTTCTGTGATCAATTATCTGTCCTAAAGTGTAAACAACATAAAATTTGCAAGGGAACAACTGTTCTGTGATCAATTACCGTATATGGCCTTCAGTGTACAGGTAAGATGCTGGCTGACTGCTAACCGGTACTGGTAGCTCAGTACGATACTGGTACTGGTGCCGGTACCGGTGTCTTACCACAATGAAATTACCGTAACTTATTCTTTCACGGTCCTACCAGTGCAGTAATGCAAGCGTTGTAGCACTTGTAGCCTACTATATTTGTTTATTTTGATGAGAGTCTACTGGAAACAACATAAAATTTGAAAGGGAAGAATTGTTCTGTGATCAATTATCTGTCCTAAAGTGTAAACAACATAAAATTTGCAAGGGAACAACTGTTCTGTGATCAATTACCGTATATGGCCTACAGTGTACAGGTAAGATGCTGCCTGACTGCTAACTCAGTACCGCTTGACACGTTTTTAAAAAGTCGCTTTTCTCTTCGAATACTGGACCAATTGCTTTGAAATTTTTAGTGGTTAAAGATAAAAATTTTCTCCAGAAGGCTATTATTTTTTTTTCGCTATGGCGTCATCAAAATTATGTGACTCTACGTGTCCATATATTTGAGCATAGCTCTCTTGTTCTATATTGAATTCCAAATCGATCGAAATTAG